GCTGTCCACTTTCTAATTCTCGGAATTTTGATCTTTCCTAAAGAGATGCACTCAATCTTAATTTCATTAAATTTGAGTTACAGACAAGCACATAGATGATAGGATAGACGCATATCAGAAAAAAAAAGCTACATAGAAAGACATTAGTCAGGAAGGATCCCATGTAAGGTATCATGTTTGATTTTATCATTTAGTTCCATTTCCTTCAATTAACTTCCTTTTCATTCCATTTGTTACTTTAAGAACCATCAATCTGATGCTAGTGCAGTAGCTCTTAAAACCAGACAGTTAATGGTTCCATATTCTTCAATCACTGTTTTTTTATAACCAGTGGGTAATCTCTTTATATACATTACTATCTCAGTTTATCCCTTACATTAAAACCAAACAGCTAGCATAACTCTGTTGGTGTAATTCCTATTAAGAATTTTTCATTAAATGAACTAGGTTTACCCTTTCCTTCAAGGAGAAAAGTAAAAAGACCCGAACAAAAACCAACAAAACACCAAAGCAAAACAAACAAACAAAATAGCAACCAAAATCCCCATCTTTGTTTTGTTCTCCACTGGAAGGACTGATATGCTTTCTGTACTTAATTCTGGAAAAGAAAGTATTATCCAATAATTATTTTTACAGTTAAAATGTGACAATTTTAAAAATGCTACTGTAACATGATTAATGCACATCTCCTGACTGTTGTACTTCTAAACGTTTTCCTATAATAAGATCTCTAATATGGTGACTAAGAATATCTGGGTACACTGAACTGCCCTCTCTTAATAGTGGATCCTAGCACTAAGTCCCAAATAATAAATTATATATAGCCATGCTGATTTTAAAATTAGCGTTGACTGACAGGCGTAGTTTCCTGAATGTTTCAAGAGGTTAAACACCTTGTTAAAAAATTTTACAGGATCCAATCTGCTTCCTTCATTGGCTGTGGCCCAGCTTTGGTAACTAACTGCTTTATGGTAAAGACCCCCTCAGAGCAGAGAGTCAAGGGCCAACCCTCTCTTCCCTCTGGTAATTGAGAGCAAATCCAGAATTTTGGAGTCTGCACCCTGCATTCACCCCAGCAAACTACGTTGTTTGTTATCTATGTGATTCCTCAATGGGAACACAGTGCCTTACTATATCATATTTCCTATCATGACAAGACTTGGCAACTGTTAATATAATCCTCAACACAACAATCACTATTGACGGTTTCAAGAATGGGGGGAGGTGTCAATCACATTCTGCTGTTTTCAGGCTTTATGCTTTAATAAGCCATTTCCTCATGTCTGTTCTCAGATTTTCACTTCATCGACTTTCAGATGTTGCCTCAACAGAATGGTGAGAAAGGGCATCAGGGAGCATCTCACTCCTTTGCTGTTCAGGCCCCAGCACAAAGGCCAAACCTTTAGGGAAGCTCTAGGTATAGTGCCATACATACCTCTGTATGTATGGCACATACATGTCATACTCCAGTTGGAGACTGATGGAGTCAGAGTGCATGTAAATGCTGTGGAGTCTTTTGCTATCTTTGGATATATTTTGAAAGAAAAAAAGTGAAACTGTTTGAGTTGGCTCTACTGCCTTTACACCTTGGAGGTGTACTGCCCTACCATTAAATCTGGGACTCTTTGGAGGTCTGAGACCATGGGCACATTCCTGCTTAACCTCAGAGCATGCTGAGACCCCAGTTCCTTCCATCATTGTGTTCATCTAACATCAAGGATCCCTTAATTTGTGGAAATGTGTTGTCAAATGTTGCCAAAGTAAAAAACAGGCCATTAAGCACATTGAATTTACTCCTTTCTGAGTAACTGTTGATTAGAGCAAGAGTATAATTTTTTGAGAAAAAACAACTGATCAGGTGGACAAAAGTGATAAAAAATTCATGTTTCCTTATTAATTCATTTTTTTTTGTGGGAGATGATTCTTCCAAGCAGAGAATTTCATCAGTGGTTTGTAGCAACTTTATTCTCAGTACTTCTCAGGACTATGCTGATGGAGTTTGTGTTAGTCTCAGATAAAATTTTGTCCCTGTCATTTTGACAGAAAAAGGTTAACCCAGCTAGTCTAAAACGATTAACAAAGTGGAAAATTTTGATGATTTTATATCTGTGGGCAAAACAAGATCTATGCAGGCACAAGTATGAGTGCTGACTCCTCATTTTGTCTTTCTGAATTTGTGGCATAGAAAAAGAAGCTGCCTGATGGCATTTTAGATCTTCCAATGACATATTGGACACAATACCAGAAGAGTGTTTGGCATGACTAATGAGAAAATTCAGTGTAATAACATATGATTAATTACATCTATGTTCAAATTTATGCTAGAAATTATTTTGAAATGAGGCAGTCCCTAGGCCTTAAAATGAAACATGTCTCCACATTAAAAAGAATATTACGGTATATGATTCACTGTCTTTATATCTACCAGCATTCTGTAGCTTAACAAAAATGGTCAGAATTTAGGCAAAACTAATAACTGGCAAGTCACACTGTAACAGTCCTTTTGCAATTTCTTATTTGTAGGAATGTAATAAAAAAATAATTTCACCTAAGTTATAATAATTTGGTTGTGATATAGTAGAACATAGGTTCCCATGTAAAGATGAAGGCTCCAATGTGCATGCCATAGCACATATACAATCATTATATACACAATCATTATACATATGTTTATATATTTGTACAACACCTTTAAGAGTCAGTCATGAAGAGGGACTCATTTATGTGATGAGTGCACATTTAAGTGCATTTTGTTATGAGAACCATGTTTGGTTCAAACAAGCTGATAAAAGGGAAGAAATGGGACTTTGGGAAATGAATTACCACAGAAACAGAGGCAATTGGTATAGTTGTGTATCATTCATAGAATAATTATAATTTAAAAGTTATATGATTGTTTTAATACAGTTGTAGCAATTACTCCAAATATTTTGCAGCCTTCTGCCCCAGACTTGCAAATGTTCTTGGGCTTATGACCACAGACATAACCAATTCTCTGACACTGTGGATGGCATAAGATGAGAAAAGAAATGCAAGAAGAGAAGACCTTGTAAATGTTTGTGTGCTCCAATGTCAGATCTTACTCTGCAGCAGTGAACCTCAAAGTATTTTTAAAAAGTGTCATGTTTTTGTTGATTTTCTTTTTTCTCTGCTATGTACATGAGAAAAAATGCAAAGGTTCTTGAGAAGAAAACAATAAACAAAGGGCAGTAAATACTGCCCATTGAAGAAGCTTGTGGGAGAATTACTTATGCATTATCAAAACTCTAGTAACCAAAAAAAAAAAAGTTTGTAGATTTTTTAAATTTTCTTCTTTTCAGATTTTGCACCTTCTTAAATCCTGAGACTGGAATAAAATCAATGAGTTTTTAAGTCTTTGAATAAAAAAATATACCCCATGTTGCAGAATTTATTAGTCATCTCAGACTTAGCTGTTAGTGAATGTACACCTATAAAATTTAGATTTCAGATTATTAGTTTTGATAACAGAAACAGAAAGGTTGAGCTTCACGTTATTATGGATTAGTAAAAGCAAATGGATATTGATTGAACTGTGCTTTTAGACTTTCTTTTCAAAGAGCTCATTACTGTGCTCTGGGAGGGCTGTGGGAAGACATGTCAAGTCTGATGTTATTTTTCTAGCTGATGCATGTATCCTGTATTAGCCAGGATACAAGTAGGCATTAATCCTAATGTCTCATTATTAAAGGGGGAAAAAAGCAGCTTACTGTTAATGAAAATTATGGTTATTTAATCTTAAAAAAATAGAAGTATTTGGATCCTAATCTGTATATTTTTTGCTGACTCTACCCAACAGCTGAAACTTGAGCAAAATACTTACCATGCAAAACTGGGAACTGTGCACACTCTGGTGTTGGATGTAGGTTGCAGGATGCTCTGGCGGGGATGAGGTCATCCAGAGATTGCTCGCTTTGTGCTGAAACTCCTCCAAGGCCAAGGCCCATACACTTCATAAACTGATGTATACTTAAAATGCTGAGCAGATTAGGTGCTGCTTTTGCCACAAAAACTTGAAAGGTGATAATATTTCAGCTAAGGATTTTAAGTGGTATTAGGAGTTTTAATGCAAGCTTTTTTAGGCTACAACTTAGTATAGAGCAGTAAAATATGCCTGGGTCCATGAGCACAGGTTTAAATCAGAAGAACAAATCTGAGCCTTCTCAAACTTCTCTGCTTCCTTGTTCTGCAAAATATCTGATGTATGTTACCATCTCTTCCAGGGTAAATTATAAACTAGTTTCGTCTCATATATTTCAGTTAGGTCTACTGTTAGAAGAAACTGAAAGTCATTGTGTGCTTGGAGATATTTACTTTGTGGTTTCATATTACAATCAAATGAACATTGGTCAGTTTGACAATTATATTTCTCTTCTAGAGCTGGGAAGAATACATTTTTCACAAACACAAATTTTTAAGCTAAATCTGAAAGAAGACTGTATAAAAAAATAAATGGAAAGATCTCCCAATATTTCAAGTTTGTTTGGTTTAAACTAGGAATAATAATTATAGATTTACACATCAAAATTAAACACATATTTAAAAGCATCTTCTTTGCTATTCTCTGCTGTCTTAAGATTTAGTCTAGTAGCTATGGAACTGTGAAGAGTGGACAAAATTTCATAGAGCTTTTGAATTTCCTTTCATTGAAGCAAGAAATCTGTGTGGTAGAAATAAGCTGCTGACAAGTTTTTTTCTTTCCATCTTCTCCTAGGTTTCCCTTGTCCACCTTCTAAAGACAGTGCGGTTGCTCCGCCTCTTGCGTCTCCTTCAGAAGCTGGATCGTTACTCCCAGCACAGCACAATCGTTCTCACGCTTCTCATGTCCATGTTTGCCTTGCTTGCTCACTGGATGGCCTGTATTTGGTATGTCATAGGGAAAAGGGAGATGGAACAGAATAACCCCCTTACCTGGGACATTGGTAAGTTCTTCCATCCTACATACACATATACACATGTATATATCCATATATGTATATAAATATATAAAAGCACATGTATAAGTCACTCCGGATTTTGGAGTTCAATCTTACACAATTATTTGGTGCTGTCTGTAGGAAAAAAAGGAAGAGATTGGCACTCTAAATCTCGGGTCAATTTGAAAAAGAGGGTTAAAATAAAAAGAAATTGGCAAAAATAAAAAACAATGAGATTTTTAAGAGTGATTCAAAGTTTTGAAAATTGAGGATCTGGATAGGAAAGGGCTAGGCAGAAAGCATAAAAGAATAGATGAGAAAGTTCGTGGTTTTTTGCAAACTAGGAAAATTCATCAACAGAGACATTCCCTCGAGTATGCTGATTATTCCTTCCTAGACATTAAATCAGATAGGCCCTGAAATGCCTTCAAGTTAAAAACTCCCTTTGGAACTATTGTTTAGCGGGTTTGCAGGTTATGCTCTTTTGCAGAGCACATGAGATGTTTATCAGTGGAGAGATGGTTTGGGGATGCTCAGTTTTGGTCCAATGTTTTCTACCCCAGCCTTCATTCTGATTTAATTGAGTATTCCATATTGATTCCTTAGATTTTAAGCTTTTAATTTTTTGTTAAAGGTTTATTATTATTTCTAGGAGTTGTACCCACATGTGAGGGTACAATGGGGAAACAATATGCCTTATATAGGAGCCAGACACCACCAGGTACTCGTACACTGTTGAAGGTGTGTTACCCACTAGTGCAACAGCTGAGACTCGACATCTTCCCGCATGGGTCATTCTGACTTTACTGTAAAAGCACATTTCTTTTGCTGTCTTTCTCAGATGCCACATCAATATCAACAACCCCCTTTTCTCCCTTTTCTTTCTGATTCCTTGTGTTCTGTCTTTTTAATTCTACTTGTAGTTACCTTTAGCCTAATCTATTCACTGAAGCAGGAAAGGAAATCAAGTCAGCAGTAAAATTAACTGGAGAAGGGAAGCCTGGCTAGTTTCTTTATGCTATTAGATATGTAAGACATGATTAAAACGCATACGGATAAATTCTAATATATAAGTTATCTGTGAAAGAAAAAGAATGCATGTGTATCTTTCATAAACAGACTGTCTAATGGTCAGGCAGAGTTTCCCAACAGAAAAAATATCTGGGGGTGGAATAATGCAAACACCTGTGGCCAAAGGCTCAGTGATGTGCATTCAAACTGCAGTTGTCCTATTCTAATCTCCTTTGATTTCTTTTCTCTTAACCCCGTTAGCATCTGCCTAAATCATCTGATAACCATAAATCTGAAGGAAAAAAGACAAGCATGTTAAAGGTGGTTGACCTCAGAGAGGTGAGGATGCTGGGTCAGGAAGAGGAAAAGAAGAAATATAGTCCAAGAAATACATGCCTCTATTTTTTATAGGGAACTTAAAGCTTTGTGGAGTTTCTTGTTCTTCTAGTTAGTTGTTTATTTCTCTTCCCCTTTATAAACCAGGTCTGTGACCTGCTGCTGAAATCCTCATGGAGTGCAAACCTCTCAAAGAAAAGACTGCAGCTGCAGGGGAGAACATACAAAGAAAGCCCACTGTGCAAAAATTGATCAAATACTGTTAACAGAGAAACAAATCCAGATAATAATAATAATAGTAATAATAATAATTGTCTCTAGTGGGAAGTAGCTATGAAGACACATTGTCAGCTTATATAGGCCACAAAAAATAGCTGATTTCAAAGCATTCACTGCAGTCCAAATGATGATGATGGGCCGCATCCTTGCTCCCCAGGTAGGGCTGCTGGCTGTGCTCCCCATGCTCCCTTTTCCGCAGGCCAAGGCCAGAGTCAGGAAACTCTCTTCATATACCCTGGGGCTCTTGCCATTTATTGCTATGAAAACATCAGCTTTCACCAATACGTTTTCTCCTTTCTTGGGCTAGGGCAATAACAAGAAAATGTCCCAACAACCTCATCAGAAGGAATCCCAGTTTAACTGGAACAGAGACATTTCCCAGAAGTCCCATTTGTGTCTTAGTGAAGAGTTTTGTATCTGGGTTATCACACACTGATAGTCTTCTGGTGGGCTTCCCAGGCAGAAACTGCTCCATAAGAGCCCCTCACCATTAGCTCATCCTGGCCTGTGAGACTCAGTGACATTCCCTGGGCAGCTGCAGGCACAGCAGCACATTGGATGGGCCAGGGCACCTCCATATTGGAGGGCCAAGGTACTTCTTACTGGTGTGTACTCTCAGACTTTAGCCTCCTACCTGGAAAAAGGGCTTCACCATTGGGCTTACAGCATGATTTTGTTTTGGTTGTTTTTCCAATAGTGTGGGTTTGCATTTTTTCCTGGAAAGCTGTTCTATTTGTAGATAGTCTCTAAAATATTTAGATGCTATAAATGTATAATAAAAATTACACTGTAATGACTCCTGCAAAGCTCTTAAAGATATTAGTTCTGTATCTATCAGAATGGTTATTTCTAACGTTGTAAGTTAAATAATTTATGGCTTTGGGGATTTGTTTGGAGTTTTTGTTTGCCTGGTTTTTTTTAAGTGAAACAGTTTTAAAATGTTAAAGTGAAACTGGTTTAAAGAAAAGAGATCAAAAAACTCCACATATCTGTCATGAAGCTGCTGTTTTGGAAAGACCACTTCAGAACTGATGAAATTTCTGTGTAAGCTTATGTGTCACATATATGAGCAGAAAAATTAGATTATGTAATTTTTTCAATCAGTGCAAATTTTATTGCTCTCCACATGCAAACTACTTGCTGGTGAAATACAATGAAATTAAGTCTTGGCCCTCTGCCTGCGATATCTTTTGATACTCTGGTGATACACTGCTGATTATATGTAGCTAGACTTTCCTTTCACCCTAAGAAAACTTTCAATGACAAGTTCATTACACCTCACAGCATCCACATAGGTGATATGTTGAGGGGAAAATGATAAGTATGATTTAGAGTATGAGTGGTTAAGGAAAGTAAAATGAGATCTGGAGATAATAATAAATCACAAGCAAATAATGTACACAGAAGAAATCTTGATTGGAGTATAATTAAGGTAATATTACTGTAAGACACTGAGGACATTCAGTTCTCCTGAGGGAAGACCTCAACTTAAAATTTTTGGAGAGCATGTAAAAGAGACTTTTTAATGCAGGCAAAGCAGTAAAATAGATCCTAAGTTTTTTATTTATAGATTTTAATTTTTTAACTTTTAATTTTGATACATTAATACCAAAACTCAAGACTCAAGTTTCAATCAATACACCTTATACAAAATTTATTCCAGCCATTAAGAGGCTTTCTAGTTGACAGCATTAAAAATACAATACAAAAGTTATGAATCCTATACTATTTTTCATTTAAAGAAATGTGCCTTCTCTTTGGAATCTCTACTTTTCATTCTTCACTGGAGTGTCTCAGATGATGTGCAACTGAAAAAATGGTGCACTGAGTATGGATGATGCAATGTATACAATAGCTGAAGAAATGAAAATGGTGCCTGGAATGAAGAGAAGATTAATTTGCTTTTTATGCTTGCTGCTATTTTTTTTTTTGGGGGGGAGAGGTGCAGACTGGGGGGAAAGGCAGAGGGAGAAAAAGCTTTTAGCAACCACCTTACTCTGTTTAGTGCTTCCTCAGAAACGCTGCAGCACAGATTTCGAGGAGGTTTGCTGACACTTAGAGCAAATATTTTAAAGCTGCAGTACTGTTAACATAATACTTCGAACCTTGCTGTGCCATCAGATATGCACCATAGCCCCATATGCACATTGACTTTAGTGGGAGCAGCATTTGCTTCTGTGTATCTATTTCTCTGGCTAATTTAAACAAATTGGGTGCTTAATTTGCATTTGGATTGGGGCAATGGGAGTGATACAGTTTTTCCTATGAAAATACCCAGGACTGAAAATGGTATTTGCTCTGTTCTTGCTGGACCTAATTGTAAGGGTTTTTTTCACTTTTTGTCCTTATTCAGGCAACATTCCCATTACAAATAACATAAAAACAGTGTTATGTTCACAAATTTAGCCATGTGGTTGCAAAATGAGAAAGGTGTAGTGTTTGGGTATATTGTTCATGAACTGTCATGATGTGGTAGCATTCGGTCTTGTAGCAGTGTAGCATACTGTTAAAATCTGGATCTGTTGCATAGCTCTAGAATTGCCACATTTAACTGAATTATTTGGAAGATATGCAGTATGGGCACTGTTTTCAGAGCTAGAAGCCTTTACCTCAGCAAGTTCTCCCATCTCAGGAAACAGTTGTTCCATGTGCAGCAGCTTGACTCTAATGTCTGATAAAAGACAAAAATGCTGGATGGGTCATTCCCACCCACCTGAGGCAGTGGTACAGTTCTTGTCCTGCTTTTCTCTTCTGGTATTTTCAGGTCTCTCTCTGTTGCATTCACCTTGTTCTGCTCATTTGTTCTCATTGGTGAAATAGATGTCTCCCTGAGACATGGAATGATTTTCAGCAACCTGTAAAAATAAGATTAATTTTCTGTTACCTGACACGGAGTAAAGGCTAGACTGCGTAGAGGTTCCCGGCTGATCGTAACACTATAGTTCCATTGGTTCTCATTTCTGTAGTTTAACTGGCATTAGATTTAGGCATAGGTTCTTTATTTGCTGACTGCTCTTTTGTATTAGTATATACTGAGCTATTCTCCTTCAGGTTCTTATCAAATATAAGAAAATGACTTTTCAATCTGTCTCTGCAGGGAACAGATAATATTGAAAACATTTCCTGTTGCTGAAGGCATTAATTCTGTAAGAACCATATGATGAGATGTCTTGAGTGTAATGAGGAGATTGGGAGAGGGACAAGAGTCAGGATACTGGCTCCCTTGGGTAGTCAAAGCTGTCAGGTAAAATTTGTGTCATTGTCTCAAAACCAAAAAATTCTTCCTGTCTATCAGAAATTTAGCTGCAACTTTTTGTTAGTTCATCTACAGTAACACAACATTCTCTCTATGGAGGTGTTGTTATCAATACAAAATACATTAAAAAAAATAATCTGTACTTTTATAGAAAACAAAGTATACATGCTTACTTTGGGTGAAGCTTTAAAATTGGGTCTGTAAAGGGTATTGTTCTTCTGCTATTTAAATCTTTATTTCAGTGTAATGCTTCCACTTTCATCTCAGGTTTTTACTCATTTTCTATTAGTTTTATACTTTGCAGCATTTTTGAAAACAAGAATTCAATTGTGACTGAACCACTGTAGTTTCACATACTCTGCAAAACAAAACTTCCCCCACCAAATTTGTTCATCACACACTGGTAGTGTGAGACTTTAAAAGGCCCTGGATGCTGACCTCGAGTGAATACCCTCAATTAGCTCTCAGTGGCAGAGTTAGGTACAGAGTGAGGTACACAGCACCTGAGTGGTGCCAGTAGGAAATGTTGAAAATAGGGTTGTGCCTTCAGGCCCTTTTACTCAGGTTTTATATACCTCATGTTGGGCTGAAGTGAACAGCCCAAGTTCACAGCTACCTTCCCCACTGAGTCCTAGAGGGAATTTAGGTGCAGGGACAAGGTGGCGGAAGGATCCCTGCTGGGCGAAGATAGGAGAGAATCTCCAAGTATCTTAATCATGTAAAGATAGTGGCACTTCTGGCCTGATGTAGAAGTTGGCTGAAATGGAATGTCCAAAACATAAGTGTCTTATGTCTTAGATGCAAACTTTAGGTTACATTCTTGAGCTTGTGTTCCTGAATTCTGCCCAAGTCCTTTGTGGTCCCCAGGTAGCTTCAGTCTTGTCAGAAGACTGAAGTCAGCATCACTGGAATATCCATTAAGAGAGACATTGCCCTGAATTCTCTTGAGTTTCAACAACTTGGGAAGTTTTAGTGCTAGGAACTTTTTTCCAAGTTTATTATAAGAAACCTGAGGCAATTGTTAGTTTTTATAATGTCCTGAGCAATTTTACTAGGAATTCTGAAGGTACAGATTTAAGTATCACCTTGACAATAGATACTTAAGACATTGGTATATTTATTGGGGTTAAAACTCTGGCTATCCTCTTTTCAGAAAAAAGACTATTTTTAGGTACATGTATCTGATAGTTCTTTCTCAAATGATGTATGTTAATGATTTAACTAAGTTTCTGGTGCTCTTGGATCCAGCATAACCATGGAGTAAATAACACTGGAAATCATATTGGAAAAATCAGTGTAATTACGTACATTCTTGATCAATACAATACATAATTTCTTAAATAATAATTACTTAACTTTTGACTCTTAGTATTTTTCGTATTGTATTGCACCTCATAATTACTCTAGAAGCAGGCAGATATTAATGCATCATGATATTTTTGCAAAGGAGTGTAATGACTTAAATGGCTAGACGTGACAAACAAGTTGGTATTAAAGCTGAGACAGAGGTTTGGTGGTTACTTTTATTTTTTTTGTATATAAATTGTGTTAGTGATCTCAGATCATTCCAGCCTTGTCTTCTCTGCTAAATAATTAAAAAAATTGGGTTTGAATGTGATGTGAGAAATTTTTACTAAATTAAGCATTTCAAAACCAAAGCAAAGAGAAGTATGAAAAATAATGAGATTTTTAAATCTGATTGCCAGTCTAAGACTGATTGCCAGCCTGCTTTTGAACCCTCCGAGACTCATATTTTCAACATATTCTTGGCAACATTGGCAACCAGGAACTTAGTTTTTAAAAAGTATGAAAACTGAGATTTTGTGTGATCACAGATTTCCAGGTACTGGGAGTGTCACGAAAATCAGCTAACAAAAAACATAGGGTAAAACTGTAACGCTAAAGAATGGTCAGTTTTTGGACACAGATGATGCATTTGGTGCATGCAGGTGCATGTACCTACTTCTGTATTCCAGACCTACCTTCTGGAGTTTGAGCCTGGACCTACATCAAAACAGCTTCTAGTAATTTCAACAAATGTTCAGCTTATGAAGAGCTAGTACTAATGAACTACAACTGGAGCCTTGGGAAAGGCTGCAGCTGGCACCTGTTCTCGTGCTATCTGGCAGATGGCAAGGTTCGGCACAGGTGCCCTGCACTCCCTGGTCTTCTTTGGTAGGAACAGCAGCTCAGGTTTTTTTGTTGCACTATAAGAACTAAATGAATCCTCCTTACTGACAGAAAGAGTACTTGTAAGTTTCCAAGGGCCTTGGCCAAGAAAACTGTGTTCTACTATAAAATATTGGTCTAGTTTCACTGCTCTAAACACACACATCAATCAGGTTAGAACTGACGTGCATAAATTTATAAATCCTGGCACAGGGCAGGAAAGAACGTCATGCTGAGTACATTGCACAGGGTATCATTCAAAAGAAATGATCAATTGTTCATTTCAGTCTGTCATCTCTGTACCTGAATGTTTGATTTTAATTTCTCTTCCAGTGTGCTTCATTACATTTTTGATTATCAGTTTTCTTCACGTTTTGTCATTAGTAATAACAGAACATGTGCCTTTGGAATTATGTTTTTTTAAGGTTTTCTTTCTGGTTTTTAAGAGGTATCTTTAAGAAAAAGAATTTTAAAAATATAGTTTTGTCATGCATGAGTGCTGGCATCTTCAGTTTAGTAGAATAAATGTCTATATATATTTATAGATATAGATATATAGAGATATATATAAAATAAATAAATGCTCTGTTGGCCTGGGGTACCTGTATTGAAGGTCCATTATTGTGTGGAATATAAATACCTCTATACTCACCTGTCCATTTTGTTTGTGGGAAGCAGGGCTGAAAATTCACTTCTAATTAATATAAGAAGGAAATGGTTGATGGCTACCACTCTTGTGAAGTATCTTGGGGTATCAGTGTCTGAAAGCCTTAGCCAACTAATTTGGGTCATTTCATGCAGTACTATATGAAATAATTAACCCCTGGAGTGTCATGCAGAAATAATGAATAAGAATAAAATAGGAAACCAAAACAAGAAAATTACTTTGAAGCTGTGAAACTTTTCAAAGCACTCATCTTACAAATGATTTACAAACAGTACTTACTACGTTGCACATACTTTGAGAAAGACGAGGATGTACCAAAGTACTGAAGCATTATATAGTGATGAAGCACTCTAAGGCAATTGAAACAGAAATTTTTAATCCCAGAAAATCTATCATTGGAACGCCTTTAAAAATTTTTAATGTATTTTTTTAATCCTTATGAGTTTTACTCCTCTGTGAAAGTAACTCTTTTATTGTATATACAATGTGTAAATTTTCTATGAATTAATGTTTGGAGTGCACAATTTCTAGACTTGTTAGAACAAAAGTAAATAAAATCATTAAAATCATGAAGAAATTAGAGTGAATAAATGTACAAACAAATGTACAACCAAAAAATATTTATTTAAAGTCTGCCAGATACCTTACCTGAGTGATCAAAAGAATTCTGATGTAAAATACTATATATGAGGCCTAATTTGGAGAAGCTTGTGGTGCAAAATATTAATGAAAGAAAACTTTATGTTTTATTTAATTGGGTTACACTTTTGAATTAGTATAAATAAGGAGAGAAAGTTCATCTAGCTTTTGAAGAAGAAATCCCATTTGTAGGTAATCATAGTTATTCACTATTTTAATGGGACATAGTGTTTTCTATGTCTGTCAGTCTGATAGATTAGACACAGAGAAATTTAACTGCTGCAAGCAGGTTTTATGTGCAAAACTGTAATCACCAGAACATATGCTGGAAGTATGAGTAGAAATCTGTCTGCACATGGTAAAGACCTATACTTACAATTTAAGGTCTTGTAAAGGTTTACCTGAAAACCTGGACCTACTCTTCTGCCTGTTTTTTATGTTAAGTTTATACTAAACCATAAATATAAATCATATACTAATATGCTTTCTAGGAAAGGTTTTCATAGTTAACAGCCCTCTTTTCAGACCTAGGTATACCAGACCTTGTCAGGATTTGAAATATAAATTTATATTTTAAAATATTCATAGATATTAATTTTGTGGAAATTATTCAATTTTGTATTTTTTGTAAAAACAACTCTTTTTGAGGTGCAAATGTGTGAAACCAAAGTGTCATTTGTTGAGCTGAACTGAATTATTTCCTTTACATTTAGAGTAACATTAATTTGTAGTTTAGCTGCTTTGGGCCTCAGTAAGTTTTATTTTGCCATTCTTCCCTGCTGTTCTTTTCTACAGGCTCAGTTCCTTGATTAAACTGTATTTTCCTTTGCACACCATACTTTGCCTTCTGATTAAGCCATTTTAGCAATCATGAAATACCCCAGGACCAAGATACCCTGCTGGATTTGAAGCCCTTGAAAAAATAGGTACAAAAGTACCTTATAAAAGGGAGTGTGAGATTTTTATGTAGTTATTAATACATTTTCAAGATTTTGTACCTAGTAAAAAACTTCTGGACAATATTACTGAAAAGTAAAAGTCTGGTGTGTGGATGAAGTCCCTGAGATTTGACAAAGTGTCCTGCTGTGTCTAACCACAGATTACCTACACATCATTAACTCTAC